GTAAAACTTAAATTAACATTCCATTTTGCACAATAAGAGTTAAAATCTTTAGATGTAAACACAGAGCCATTATCAGAATGTAAGGTTCTAGGAGGGCCAAATATTGAAAATAATCTATCCAACACTGAAATAGCAGTGTATGTTGTTGCAACACGTAAGGGCCATGCGATGACAAACCTAGTTAAATCATCCATGAACGTAAAAATATATTCAAAACCGTTAGTTGAACGAGGTAATGGTCCAACAAAATCACAATGCACTATATCCCAGGGTCGAAGCGCAGTTTTAGTCATACCATGTGGACTTCTGGGAATGGCATGAGGTCCAGTTATACATGTTTTGCATTTACCTACAAAATCTTGAACCTCTGATAATGTAATTTTACTATTAACTAATTTAGCTAAGGTTCGTTGAGCACTAAAATGTCCTAAAGAATGAGCACGCTCTATAATAGATTGACGTTCGACTTGACCACGAGTAACAGCTAAAATAGGTAAATCGATTTCAAAATCGTCTATAGGTGCACGACTTAAAGCATCACTTACACAATTATTAGTACCTTTAACATGTTCAATATCAAATTGATAGTCTGCTAGCTCTAAAGCCCATCTAGCACACTTAGGCTTAGTTGAAGTCATAATAAATGTAAGTGGTTTATGATCAGTGCGTAATAAGAATTTGCGTCCGTACACAAAATCACGAAACTTTCGTACTGCCCAAATAATAGCTAAAGCTTCACGATGTATAGTAGAATAGTTTCTTTCAGTTTTTGAAAGTTTCTTAGATGCATAAATAATTGGATGTTCTAATCCAGTATGGTCAGCTTGAAGTAAAACACCTGCTAAACCAGTTTGACTTGCATCAGTTTGCACAATGAGCACATTGGCACTATCACTGAAATCAGGATGAGCCAGTAATGGTTCTGACATTAAGCATGATTTCAGGTTTCTAAAAGAGGTTTCACAAGCCTCAGTCCACTTATATTGTTTATGAGCAACAATATTACTTAAAGGTAATACAAGATCTGAATAGTTAGGAATAAAACACATAAAATATCCACATAATCCAATAAAGGAACGAACTTCCTCCCAAGTAGTAGGAGAAGGATAATTCTTAATAGCTTGTAGACCTTTATCACCAGGAATAATGCCATCTTCTGAAAATTTAAAACCTAGATAATTTACAGAGTCCATGAAGAAATGACATTTTTCTGGTTTTAAAGTTAAACCAGCTTTACGAAAACAATCTAATACTTGTTCTAAAATAAGCAAATGATTATCCAATGTAGAGGTATGAATAAGACAATCATCTAGATATATCAATATGTGATTAAAATCTAAACCACCTAAAACAAGATGCATAATTTTCTGAAATGCAAGTGGAGCTACCTTTAAACCAAAACATAATCTTGTAAATTGATAAACCCCTGAAGATGTTTGAAAACCTGTTAAAAGACGACTTTCTTCAGATAATGGAATTTGATTAAAAGCGGAAAACATATCAATAACACTAAAATACTTTGAATTCTTAAGTTGCATCATGGCTTCTGTAGACGTTAGTAATGGAAACGTTTCATCAGTTAACTGATTATTTAATGATCTAAAATCTAAACAAAATCTAAGGGAGCCATCACGCTTCTTAGCTAATACTATGGGTGACAAAACACTTGTATCACTACGTTCAATAACATTTGAGTCTAACATCGACTTAACTTGTGATTCTATTTCCTGATTAATACGCGGATTAGATTTTAGACGACGACCACGTACTTTAGACAAATCAGCATCAGCTGCTAGCTTTAACTCGTAAGAATGTTTCTTAGCACACCCTAAGCCGGTAAACACATCCGGTTTATAATTACCTAACAAATCAAGTAGTTTGGATTTATATGAAGAATTAATTGGACCAATATTCCAAGATTTTTCCTCAACACTATTAATAGGTTCTTTTTCTGAAGTAGCACTTATTGTTAATGCAGTTGCACAAGCAACTTGTTGAGAAGCATACACAGTTTTACTAATGGAATCAGGGTTCATAAGCAATACTAAAGGAGTCTTAGAGTTGGAGACACAACGTCCAACAAATAACCCAGATTTGTCTTCAAAAGTTGTTAATCGTTCAACAAGCAATCCAGAATCAGATGGTGAAGGATGTGATACTTGTACTCGTAATATCTTCTGAGAACGGGGTGGTACCACAGTGGTTGTAACAGCTCGTACTTCTGAAACACATTCAGAATTCTCAACAACAAGTCCAAAATCTACACTATTACTGGCTGGAGAAATAGTCACTTTATGAAATTTTGAAATAATATCCCAACCAATAAGGAAAATATCCTCTTCTGAATCTATAATATGAATTCGTGCAGGAACGGTATGGCCATCTATCTGTACATAAGTGTTTATAACACCTAAAGTTGGAATCTGTTCACCAGAAGGACCTGTCAATACGGAACTACAGGATTCCATATCATAACCACCAGGAAAAGCCTTCTGCATATTGGGAACAGTAGTACAAGTTACTGCAGCACCAGAATCAACCGTAGCAGAGCTGGTTAGTTTTCCTACAGTAACATCTTTGGTTGGACACGTCTGGTTAAAATTAACATGATGAACAGGTTTTTTCGCTTGATAACATGTCTTACTGATGTGACCACGTTTACCACATACATAACACTTTGCATTCTTTGTCCAATCATCAGTTTTCGTCCGTCCGGATTTCTCATTTGAAACAGAGTTCTTCCTTAATCTGCATCGATTAAGTGTATGCCCAAGTTTTTTACAGTAAGTACATCGTACACTCATAATTGGATCAGATGTCGTGGATTTATTTCCACTAGAAATAGATACACCATGTGATAATCTTCTAGCTGTATCAACTAAAGTGTAAAACTCGGGCATGTCAGGATTCTGACAGATAATCAATGAAAGTTTTTCCTTTAAATGGTCAGAATTCAAACCTTCAACAAAATGTTGGGCACATAAAGTCAGTTTATTTCCTTTGGAAAAGGATGGATAGGCTTGGTCGCATTTCCTTGATAATCTGTGACTATAGTCATCAGTAGATTCGGATGACTTTTGCTTTAAGTGATGAAATTCTGTAGCAGCAGTTTGCTTTTTTTCATCAGTGCGATCGAGTTCTTCAATTAGTTTGTTTTTAAGAGCATCATACGAACGTTTATGGGTTGCTGCCATGTCACTAAAAGTTAGGGTGCACCACCCAACTGGCAATATCAGGGCCAGATGTCGTAATTTTTTCTCGGCACTCCATTCGAATCCCCATGATTTCACCTCATAAATGTCTTCTATATTGTTGGAATGTCATGTCCTTAGGGTTAAACATTGGCATTTTTAATTGCCCACAGTTAGTTTAAGGTGCCATGGTTATAACTATAATAGTTAACAAAAGTTGAAAGTTGGAAATTAGACACACCATAAACACCGCCTGTCAGACAATAACGCCTATCACCTTACTACACAGTTGACTGTCCACTGTACCAGTACACATTTCTATTAATACACTTATAATATTGCTAGCCTATACATTCTATAAATAGACACACACCACGCTGTATTTCCAAATGAAATTTTCAGTTATAAAAGTTTACCTCTGCCACCAATTGTAGAGTTCACGAAGGCTATGATAACACCATAACAGTTTAAGAAGTATATTTGAATGATGATACAGTTTTACAACATATTTTAGTAATGACAAACATTATATAATCGACATACGATGAAGCTTACTCGACAAACGAACTACATGCCTTGACTAACATGGCGGCTTCGCTATCCCATCATGCACTTGATCGGACCTACAGAACAGGAGCGAAAGAGTGTGCACATAGACTAACTAACCCACACTTATCATTGAACCTGAGAGAATTGGATGACCTTGTTGCCCAGCTTCCTTCTTACATTTTGTTAGGAGATTTCAATGGTCACCATTCTTTCTGGGGTAGCTCCGATGATAATAGCAGAGGAAAATTAATAGCTGACTTCATTTATGACAATGATCTTTGCATCTTTAATGACGAATCACCTACGCATTTCTGCTCAAAAAACAAAACCTTTTCTCATCTAGATCTGACAATTAGCTCTCTATCTTTGTTCCAAGATTTTTCTTGGAGTGTCCACGACGATCTCTGCCACGGCGATCATTATCCTGTAATTCTACAGAATAATGGTCCTTCACCAGTAGACAGGCCATAAAGATGGAAACTCTCCAAAGCTAATTGGCCTCTCTTTGAGGCTCTTTGCATTTCTTCTTTTCCTCAAGATGATCTAGATGAGGATGGAATTATTTACCACTATCTTACAAGATGTATCGGGTCAGGCGATTCGTAAAACCTCGGCAGCTCCAAAACGATTCAATAAACCATGGTTTAACGAAGACTGTAAGACAGCACTGAAAGAACGAAATCGTGCTCTACGACTCCTTGAACGTTCTCCTACTGATGACAACATAGCCTCTTTCCGCATTGCACGGGCGAAAGCCAGAAGGACTATCCGCCAAGCAAAGAGGTCGTCATGACAGGAGTACGTTTCAAGGATCAACAGTCGTACGTCTTCTAAATCAGTCTGGGATAGGATTCGTAGGATCAAGGGTAAAGCGGATACTCTAGAGATGGTTCAACTCTCACCACTCTTCCAGATATTGCTAATTCCTTGGGCCACACCTTTTGTATAATTCTTCCTCTAACTTTTCCTCGGATGCTTTTCGGAGAGTCAAACTCCGGGAAGAGAAGAAAAAACTTAATTTTACATCAAAAAACGAGGAATATTATGATACATTTAAGATCTCCGAATTAAAGTTTTCTTTGAAACAGGCTCATGATACAGCTACTTGGCCTGATGATATCCATTACCAGAAGCATCTCCCTTACCCAACATTAAAAAAACTTTTATGTATATTCAACCAGATTTGGGATGACGGTGTATTTCCTCCATCTTAGAGGATTGCTACCATTGTACCCATTCCTAAACCTGGTAAAGATCCTACGAATTCTACTAATTACCGCCCTATTGCATTAACCAGCTGCATTTGTAAAACCATGGAACGAATGATCAATCGAAGGCTCGTTTGGCACCTTGAGTCAAACAATCTTCTTACCAACCTCCAATGTGGATTTCGGTCAGAGGAAGATTGCCATTATTCATCTCCAATTTCCTACATGATAGGACGTTTAAGGTTCGACTTGGCTCCATTTTTTCAGATCCTTTTCCTCAGGATAATGGAGTTCCACAGGGTAGCATATTATCCGTTACCCTGTTCTCTATTAAAATTAATTCCATCACGTCGTGCCTTAGACGGGGGGTTGATGGCTTTAAATCGGTGATAAGTCTTTTATTCAACATCGATGGCAGCAAAGATGGGATGCTACAGACACTAACAAGCTTCGAGCCATTAAGCCTCTCCTAGGAGACTGGCCCTCCTCCTATTGTGCCAACAGGAGAAATGAAGTTGTTTTGTGTCGCTCTCGTCTTGGACATACTCACCTCACCAACTGTTATCTGCTTAAAAAATTAATTAAAAGTACATCTCAAACCTTTGAGATCCCAGCACTATGGTGCTGGATCTTTACATCAATTATTTGCGCAACCTTCTCTTTATGAGAAGGTTGTGGCTTTTTCAAAAAAAGCAGGTCTTTATTTTAAATTTTAAATAGATTAGTCATTGTTTGTTTTACATATTTTGTTTGTTTTTAATACCACCATGTGGTGTATTACCTGTGATATTGTTTTAGTGTTTTTTTTTGTAGTCATTAAATGACTGTTTCTGTGATATGGTTTTTATTTTTTTTTGTTTTTTTTTGTCACTATGTGACCTTTCTGTGATATTGATAGGTGTTTTATTGTTTTAGTTTTTTTTTATTATTTTAACGTATTCTGGAGCTATATAGCCCATTTAATTTCATTTCCTTGTGATAACAGAAGCTACTATAATAATTGAAAATGGTTCAAAAACTTTGATCTTATTCTAACAAACTGTAAGGAATATTTTTACAGAAGTTTTGGACATGGTATGTGTGAATGCAGATAAATTCAGAGTTTTTAAAAAGGCAAAAAGAGAGGATACTGGTGTTGTTGAAAATGGGTTATGGACCAATTGGCAGACAAATTTTGATGGAGGTTGATCAAACGTTATGTGAATGTTTATTTATAATCACCCATGGATGTTGTAATGCTCTGAAGTAGAATATAAAGAATTTATTTTTTAGGATTGTAGATGTCAGCTTGAAAATAGAAAGAAGAAATTATTCATGCATTATATGGGGTAGGTTAGTAATTGTGTGGAAAGAGTAGGGTTTGAGAAGAGAGAGTAGTTGAGAAGTTACTATTATAAATAGTATTAGACTGCGTGAAAAGATAGGTGATATAGGCACACAAATTAGTCATGCACAGAAAGATTGTGGTGATTATTATTATGTAGTGTGCTTGAATTTCTGTGATGACTTGCATTAATATCATTGTGTGTAAATAAAGGGTAACTGGCTTGTGTTTACTTTATTTGTGCCCGTATGACAATGAACTGTGTGTAGTCAATATATTATAAATAAGGTGCAAAAATAGACATGTGCATACAAACATTGTTAGCAAGATCATATTAATAAAACTAAAGATATTCAGAAAAACTTAACATTTGTCTTTCAATATATGGGTTTTCTATATATGCCAAAGTCTCTGAAAAAAATTTGGACTTTCAATCTGTGATGATTATGGAGACGCATGGATTTGAGGGCTAAATTTTTAGGGGAGAGCTGTGAAGATTATTATTGATTAGCTTGGCTAAAATAAAATGCCGTTTCTGAGACTAAGGTATGATTGGTCGAACAAATAGTGAATGTGCCCCTCAATTTATTACTCAACCAATATGGTCGTAAAACATGACAACAAACCTCATATACAAACTATATTAAAGTTCACTTTTTATGTCTCACTTCACATTAAGCAAGTTTGTACAAATGCATAAGACACAACATGACAGACTCGTGCTTCGTACTGCGCATGTCTCAGTATATTCATATCTTTATGGATTTATATTTGATAGAAGTTTTGTTTCACATGGAAACAATTAAAGGAAAGGTATCAACCAGAGATTAGGATAAAAGATCTGACTATTCACTTGGGTACAACTATTGACTACGTGTTAACCACGTGATAAAGATGATTAACTCTTTTTCAATAAAAGAAAAATTAGAATTCAAATTGGAAAAACTGTGTCTGCACTCAGGTCTCCACCCAAAAGAGCAGCCAATAAACCTCGGGCTCCAAAAATTTGTCCGATGTGTGATGCCATTGTCTTCCAGTGAAGGAGTCACTTCCGATCTATCCGATAGGGAGGCGGGTATTCTTGGCAGCCAAGGAATATCCGCCAAGAAAGGAAAGAAAGAGTTCCCGACATGTGGAACTAGGTCATCATCTGATCCGCACTCACCACATGTCGGCCACTAATTCAGTCTATTTCAGGCTGAGGAGGTGGACGAACAGGCTAGAGCGGAAGAGGGGCAAGATGAGGAGGAGGAAGCAGAATGACAAAAGCTTCATGGACGCAGCTTCCTGGAGAGCCGGCTTTAGATACAAAAGAGGCTTTTTTCTCACCTCCAGAGGTTAGATAGGAAGTGGATAAACTTACAAAAATGCTAAGCAGCATAGGAACTAAGTAGAGAATATTTTACCCTTGGCTCACAAAAGGAAGATAAAATTCAAACGCCATCAACCTTGAGAACTTATTGTGTTTCAGCTAAAATATGGCTGGACTACCTAAGGGACAATAAGCTGGTGACATCCGATATGCAAGAATGTGAAGTGAGCTTTAAATAAGCTGACGCCAATCTAAAAAGGCTTGTGGTTGTACATAAAGGCCTTTTAAAGGAGAAAACGAAAAAACTAATTTTCGATCCATCCGACCTTTGAAGTTCTTGAAAAATATTGACAAATCCGTGGCGTCCACCAGCTTCCTAAAGTCTATTGTTACCAACCTACTCACCTCGCACCCCTAAATAGCTCTCGATTTGGGAAAGGCCAATGAGTCATAGAACGAATACTCAAAGACTCAATTATCGATAGGACCTCTTGGCCAACCGAGCTGCGCAGGTCGGGAATATTATATGGAACCGTTTAACTGGTCGTTCTGCTCCTACTGTCACTGCTACAAGTGGATGCCGACAAGTCTCGGAAAAGGAAGAGACCGC